TCTTCCAAAATCAATTCTACAGACAAATAGTGTCCCAATGGCACTATCTCCAGTAATTGCCAATATCTTTATAGAAGACTTCAAGACCCGAGCACTATTCACATCAATGCTCAAACGCACATGTTGGCTACGATATGTTGACGATACATTCGTCATTTGGCATCACGGCAGGGATGCTTTGGTGTCTTTTCAAACCTATCTGAATGGTATACATCCTAGTATCCAGTACACAGTGGAGGTGGAAACTGATTCATTCCTACAGTTTTTCGACGTTATCATAAAGATACCAATTCCAATGTTTATATCACTTTGTTTTTTATCTGTTTATATCAAAAACCCACCAATACTAATCATTACTTGAATGCCATCATCTACTTTCACAAATTAGTTCAGTCATTAATACCCTTGTCTCCAGGTCAATACGCCTTTACGATGATGTAAATATATCTGCTGAGCTCTCTAGTTGAAAACAAGCACTTATCCAAAACGGTTATACAGACATCAATCTCCCACTCAATCTCAACACAACGACTCAGATCCCCATCAGACGAAAGCTTTTCTTTCTTACAGCACAGCTGTCACTGACAAAATCGATAAAATTCTAAATAGACAATATTTACCCCCCAACAAAAACTGTAATCTCTTTAGTATTATTTAAATTCCGATTTAATTTAGCTCTACGTTAGCACAATCTTCATGCAGATCACAAAATTGATTTTGAAAATTCCACAACAATAGCCCCCATACGCTTCTATAACCCAAGAATTATGCGAGAAGCCGTAGAAATTGAAAAAATGGCAAATTATCTCAATAAAAGAGTTGACGACAATCCGGTTACCTTAGCTACCTCCACCCAAACCACGTCACCATCGACTTTATAAATGAACCGTCCGCTGTTCTCAGTTCCAGTACTGCAATGATCAGAGATCAATGTATTAGTGTCTGGAGAATGAGACCTCGGAAGCCTTGAAGAAGACATCAGAGAGGAGGTCGAAAGCTCAGCGCAGTGATAATCGACGCGGTTTTTGTATGTTTAATGAACTTTAGGTTTAATATATATATATATATATATATATATATATATATATATATATATATATATATATATATATTATATCGGGTGGTGAATCGTCAAACGGGCCATAGGAAACTCAATGGGAAATTTTAAATTGTTGAATTGCTGCTTCCCGAATTATTTTAGATTAAAAGTCATAAAAAACTATTTGTAGAGGACTAAAATCTGAATTAAAAACAAATGTTAAAACCGTTTTACGAATCAAATGTACTTCAAAATTTTGCAAAAATATAATAGATTTTTCAGACCACCCCTAAAAGTTAGGCCACACGTAATACAAGAATATATAACGTGTGTGTTTTATCATATTGATGTCAGATGTTTGACAATTTGAATTGTCAATTTTTTTCTTTTATGATTAAATTATAAACAATGAATTTTACTAAATACTACTACTGAACAATATTACTTTGTTAACAATAAATTATATTGTTTACAAATCGATCAATATAATGAAATGTACTCAGTTGACGAAAAATCGCATAATGTTGTATTCAGGCAATAGCGCGAACCTTTTCCTGTCACTACCGGATCTTTATTTAACGTAAGATATTCTAATACACTAAAATTTAATTCCATGTTAAGTTATACAACAATTCAATGAATTCCAATATACTGTTACTGTGATCTTTATTCCTAAAAATAATTTATGATAATTTCTAAACATAAAAATATAAAATATAAAAACATAACAAAACATCTCCTTAACTGAGTATATTTTTTAATCAACTTAATATTTTTTTAAACAATATATAACAAAATAAAAATATTGGCCATTTAAATCATAGATAAATATAAGTTTAAGTCGTAGAACAATTTTAACAATTGTTTCGATACATATTTGAGTCCTCTACAAATAGTTTCCCATGACTTTTGGTGTAAAATAATTAGGGAAGCAGGAATTCAACAATTTAGAATTTCCCAATTTCCCATTGAGTTTCCTATGGCCAGTTTGACGATTTACCACCCTGTATATATATATATATATATATATATATATATATATATATATATATATATATATGTATATATATACATATATATATATATATACATATACATATATATATATATATATATATATATATATATATATATATATATATATATATATCAAGTGGTGATTCTTGAGGATGCAGTCGGTCTATTTGGCCCACAAGACAAAGCAAACTCTTTGACTTACTGTCAAGCTTTCGAATTTAATTTAATTCTTTTTCAAGACATCTGTCAACAAAGAAATATAAAAATTAACTAGTTATAATTGTTAATTGTCTTAATTTTAAAAATAACTATATTGTCACTATATATGTCATTGTCATGTTGGTTTGATTAATGGATATATATGAAGGAATATACAGATATTTTACGTGGAAAGCAAAACAAGTGACAATAGTTTTTAATATTATTAATTTAATTGTCGATAAAAAATAAATTAATCCAGTCAGTTTGGCTTAAGCACATATGAACTTTTTAATGTTGGGAAGTCGATAGAAAATGAGATTATGATGGTATTTATTGATATGTTAATATGTAACAATAAATGTTACTTAATTTGTCAATATCTGATTTTCTATTTATATTTTTTTTATTTTTCTGTATATGTATCATTTCTAAAAATAACCGCTTCTGTTCATGTTTCTGCCTCTCTAGAATTGAAGATTATGAAAAATTAAATGTGTGATTTAGATTGATGGAGTGTTCGGCTAATGCACAAGCTTGAGATTTTGTTTGTTTTTACATCACTTTTGTGAGAAATAATTCTGCTGTGTAATGTTCGAGAAGTTTCTCCTATATAAACTTTATCACAGTCTGAGCAAGGTATTTGATACACTACTTTATAATTTTCCTTAGTTGTTAAAGGATCTAGTGTATAAATTTGCTAGGGTTTTAACATTTCAGGTGGCAATTTTTATGTTTTCTAAACCTTTAAATAATTTAAGAACTTCTGGTGTTAAGAATGGAATATAAGGTAAAGATCCAAAAGTTTGTGGTGTTAATGGTATTAAGGTGTTAATTGTTAGGCTATTGTTTATTTCTTGGTTTGCCATTTTTACTGTGATTTGTTTTTTATTGTTGGTATTGCCGATCAATGTGATGGAGGCTGGAGAGTATGTGGTACTAAAAATTAATTTATTGAGTAAGCCTACGGGATAACAGTTTCCATTAGTTTTCCATTTTCCATTACACAGCAGAATTATTTCTCACAAAAGTGATGTAAAAACAAACAAATCACAAGCTTGTGCATTAGCCGAACACTCCATCAATCTAAATCACACATTTAATTTTTCACAAGCTTTAATTCTAGAGAGGCAGAAACATGAACAGAAGCGGTTATTTTTAGAAATAACACATATACAGAAAAATAAAAAAAAGTATAAATAGAAAATCAGATATTGACAAATGAACTAACATTTATTGTTACATATTAACATATCATATTAAATTACCCACCCAGACGAACTCTATTATCGGTCCCAGTGGGAAATAGGAGTAGAGGCAGACCACGACTGAGATGGAGGGACGGTGTGGACGAGGACGCAAGGAAGATCGGCGCGGCAAATTGGCAACGGTTGGCGATGAACAGAAACGACTGGCGAAATAGACTGGGGAAGGTCAAGGCTCAACTAGAGCTGTAGCACCACTGATGATGATGATTAACATATCAACAAATACCATCATAATCTCATTTTCTATCGACATCCCAACATTAAAAAATTCATATGTGCTTAAGCCAAACTGACTGGATTAATTCATTTTTATCGACAATTAAATTAATAATAATAAAAACTATTGTTACTTGTTTTGCATTCCACGTAAAATAACTGTATATTCATTCATATATGTCCATTAGTCAAACCAACATGACAATGACATATATAGTGACAATATAGTTATTAAAAAAAAATTTTTAATATATGTGTAATGGTTTGTTTTATAAAGTACAATATTAACTGTAATCTCACGCCTAGTAAGTAAGACAATTAATATAACTAGTTAATTTTTATATTTCTTTGTAAACAGATGTCTTAAAAAAGAATTAAATTAAATTGGAAAGCTTGACAGTAAGTCAAAGAGTTTTCTTTGTCTTGTCGGCCAAATAGACTGACTGCATCCTCAATAATCACCACTTGATATTTAAATTTAAATGAAAAAATGATTGATATTTAAATTAACAGTCAAGAATACCACCATCTTTATATATATATATATATATATATATATATATATATATATATTATATATATATATTTATATATATATATAATCAATTTGTTGTTTAATCCAATCTTTTGAGTTGAAGTGTATTCTATAATTGAATTTTTATTGCTATTATACATTAATATTGTTCATATTAAAAAAAAATAACCGGTGGTGGCAACCATAGTGCAAACAGTGTTAGTGTATTTTAGTTATATATTCATAAATATTTTGTAAGTTTCTGAATTCAAAATACTTAAGTTGTGAGGTATGAATAGTGATCAATATGTAAGTAGAAATTAAACTATGACCTAGGTAAACTTTTGGATCTAATAGAAAATTTTCGGTTAACTTTTAAACAGCATATTTGCATCATAATCTATATATTAAAACAAGTTTCAGCTTGTTTGTGGGTATGAAATCTACTTTGTTCAACAAAAGCAATCCAGCTAGTTAAAATGTGTAATAAAATAACAATAAACTTCTTGATATATATTAAACCATAATCAGATCATAAATTCTGAAGTATTTTTAAAATAATTTCTTTTATTCCCAATATCAGAACGCATAATAGTCATCTGGGATGATAGGATACAAAATAGTAGTTTTTGGATAGAAATTATTAATATAAGAATTATGATGCCACAAAAAATAATAATACAACAATATTTTAGTATATTATAGAACACATTTCATCAATAAAAACATTACAAAAATGAGTACTTACCGTGCCAATGTATAAGAGATTTGATTAATTCACAACCATCCAATTTGTTATTGTTGTCGGCATCATGCATCTTGAAGTAGTGAAACTGTAATTCTTGTTCACTCATTTTACTTGTATCAATTGGCACGTCCATATGTTCAGCGATATGCCTGTAATTTATTATTAATATGGAAAAATTATTATTTTTTTAATTATCAATATATGTAAAAAGTATAGAAATTAATGTTTATTTTTAAACGCATTGCAAAGTTGTCACAAATATTTATAATAATAGTTGTACGAGAAGTATAAAGAAATAGTTAATAATGGTAGAGATGTAAAATCTTTCATACAAATACGTAGGCTTAGATGGGCTGAAAATGTGTCAAGATCAAATAAAAATTACCCACCCAGACGAACTCTATTAGCGGCACCGGTAGGAAATAGGAGTAGAGTAGACAAAGACTGAGATGGAGGGATGGTGTAGAGACTAAACATCTGGGGAATTTTAAAAGGGGAATGGATTGAAAATCATTAAGTAAAATTTTTTCAATCACTTAACCATTCTGGATCTTAACCATTCTGGTTCATCTCAACTAAGTTTAGCCTACCATAAACGTTACATGAGAATTTTGAAAGAGGCAGTGATATACCCGGCTAAATTCATTGAATCGAAAGTAGACATCAAAATACAGCACTTTTCTCTTAGTGATTGACTGATCTGATTGTTAATTCCATTTAATTCTGAGTACTTTCGGTGAATAATCACATAAGTGATGGGTTAAATGTGTTGCAGAGGTGAGGCCATGTTTTATTGTCTTTTAACACTCTTCGTTGTTCGGGTAAATTTTGTGGAGATTACGTACTTACCTAACAAGATTTTAAGTTGAGACAATAAGAGTTCTAATTATTCTAAAGAGGTACATCCACCTAAAATATCATCTACATAAGTAGAATACAAGAGAGTGTCACAGGCTAAAGAAAACGCATACTTATTGTCCGCAATGTGTTTGCGAACACTTCTTTCTTCTTATGGTGCCTATCCGTTACGGATGTTGGACACTAACATAGCTATTCTACCTTTGTTGACTGCTACCCTAAAAAGTCCGGTAGTGGTTAAGTTAAACCACTTTCGCAGGTTATGCAGCCAGGATATTTTTCTCCGTCCTGGACCTCTTTTCCCATGCACTTTACCTTGAAGAATGGTCCGAAGTAGGTCATATCGTTGTTCATTGCTCATTATATGGCCCAGGTATTCTAGTTTGCGACGTTTTATTTTGCGCGACTAGTTTGCGCTCTTTACCCATTCTATGTAGTACTTCTTTGTTGGTAGCTCTGTCTATCCAGGAAATCCTCAACATGCGTCTATAGCACCACATCTCAAATGCTTCGAGTCGCTTCAGTTAAGGTTCATGACTCCACGCCATATAAAAGAACGGAAAATACGTAGCATTTTAGTAAAAGAACGTTTATTTCCAATTTTATGTCGTGGCTGTTAAAGATTTTTTTTTTCATTTTGACGAAAGCTGATCTTGCCTTCTCGATCCTTATCTTAATTTCCGTCGATTGGTCCCACTGTTCATTTAAGTTTGCACCCAGATAACAAAAGTTGGTGATTTGTGTTATAGGTTGTTGGTTAACTAGTAATTGACCAGGTGGTATACTATTCTTGCTTATAACCATGTATTTGGTTTTTTTGATGTTAAAATCAAGCCCAAACCTGCTACTTACTTCTGCCACCCTGGAGAGAAATATTGCCTAGTAGCGAGAAATGGTGATGAGCATGAATCAAGGGAGCTCTAGTGAGCTGAAATGTAGTGAATGCCATTTCAATCTTCATACATAAATTGGATATGGATAGTAAAACTTATAAGCCGGTAAAATAAAAATTAAGATAAAAGTATAGGAAATACTGGCAAACAATATTATCTCCGTCTTCGAAAAGGTTTCGAACAGATGAGAAATTATTTGAGAAACGATTTTGTTAGTGACACCCTTTTGTAGGTTTTAGAGTTTTGGCCAAGTACAAGTACTAGAAAACTAAATACAGTATCCAGCAAGATCACTTATCTCTCATTAAACATTGTATGTGCAACGCTTATTTCATCTTCCAAAATCAATTCTACAGACTAATAGTGCACAATGGGCACTATCTCCAGTAATTGCCAACATCTTTATGGAAGACTTTGAGACCCGAGCACTATCGACATCAATGCTCAAACCCATATGTTGGCTACGATATTTTGATGATACATTCGCCATTTGGCCCCATGACAGGGATGCTTTGGTGACTTTTCAAACCGATCTGAATGGTATACATGCTAGTATCCAGTTCACGATGGAGTTGGAAACTGATTCATCCTTACCGTTTCTCGACGTATCATAAAGAAGAACGTCTAACGTTTTCTTGAGGTCTGCAAAGTAGCCTTTCAAGTTTGAAAACAAAAAGCAGTTGTACAGTTTGGAATATTTTGAAGAAGCTACTGAACGTCTACATGAAATATGAAAAATATTTTAATATTGTAACAAAGATACTTAATAAAAAAAGTATTGAGTAAAGTATTTGGTTTTATTTATTGTAGTTTTTTAATGAATTTTTACCGTCAGAAATCAGTGATATATCGATTAGCCAATGACCTTGAATCATCGTTCTAAACATTTAATTAATCACGATACCTGGATGTTTGAAAGTGTCATTAGAGGCATTTGATTGTGGCAGATTGGTATAGACGGCATTTTAGTAAAAACATAAGAAATACTTATCTGGGAGTACGTCTGCTAGCGTCAAATACGCGTTTAGACGTTTAATGAAACGTATAAGCTCGCCTTAGCTGTTAGCTCATGTAACCCGATGTTTAAGCACTGAAAAACGATGTTTTATGTAATTGATGGATTCGACCGTAACTTGATGGAAATTCATTTTATGTAACAATACAACACTGATAACTTTGTTTTCAAACTTCCACAAAATTTATTTTAACCTCTTATCACTACAGCTGTTTCGGCTGATTGCCTTTCTAAAGTGATCTATTTTTGGCATGCGTTTACACTTTATAGTCTCTAATGAAATAGGTTGAGGAGGGGAGAACTGTTTGTCTCAAGTTGATCATTCAGAATTATGTCTGTGTTTTTTAATTTGTTGATTTCCATAGATTCTAACAAGGATAGCTTAAGGCCTTTATTTTGAATGTGAAGAAATTTAAATTCGTCATTAAAAGAATGATTGTGATCTAGAAGGTGAAGTGCTTATGTATAATCTGTTTTTCTATTATTGAAAGCCCTTTTATGTTCTGTTATTCGTTTGTTAAAGTTTCTACCAGTTTGAAGTTTTTGGGCAGTCGCTACATTTAAGTTTGTACACGCCACTGTGTAAGTGTTTTTTATTTTGACTCTTGTTGTTTTTGATATATTTGCCTAGATTGTTATTTGTTCGGAAAGCTCGTGTTATTCCTTTCTTTTTTATATGTTTGGCTATTTTTGTTGATATTTTGCCTGTATATGTAATCGAGCAGAAAGGTAACACTACTATTGCTATAGATAAAATAGAATATAATAACAAAACAATAGAATTCTTAAATAATCAAAATATTGAAACGGTACACAAAGATCCAACAGACAAATATCAAAAACAAATTAAGCTAGCATTATAATTAAGCTCAATATCATGAACCCACAGCCTCCTAAATTATACTCTTTCATTGAACTACACAAACCGGATCACCCAATAAGACCTGTAGTTTCTTTTTATATAGCTCCGTCATATAAGCTTTCAAAAAAACTGTTAGACATTATTTTAGAACACACTAAATGTTCACCTAAATTTACCATAAAAAATACAATAGAACTAGTTAATAAAATAAAACATATTCAATTACCAAACAACTCCAGATTAATTTAATTTGACGTAAAAAATTATTTTCCTAGTACCCCTTCTACAGAAACTTTTATTCTAGTAAAAAACCTTTTAAACCAAGATAGTACAAATCCAATAATTACATCCGAAATTTTACATCTTCTTGAAGTTCGCATAAACCAGGACTACTTTGAATTTAATAATCAAATATATACAAATAACAGTGCAGGACTTATAATGGGCAATCCTCTAAGCCCATTGCTATCAGATATTTTTATGGATCATCTAGAGACAAAGATTTCAAAACATCCCGTATTTAAACAGTTTTTATATTGGTGGAGATACGTAGACGACGTACTGGTATGTTTCACAGAAACTAATAAGCAACTCAATCAATTTTTGTCGTATATTAATTCACTTCATAGTCATATTGAATTTACAATAGAAACACAACAAAATCAATCCATAATTTTTTTAGATCTAAAAATTATCAGATTTAAAAACAAACATGACTTCTCCATATTTCATAAACCTACCCATACTGACACGACTATACACAATTCATCATCCCATCCAACACAACATACACTGGTAGCCTATCATAGTATGTTACATAGATTAACAGAAATTCCGATGTCAAAATACAACTTTCGAGACAGAATTAAATATCATCAAGCAAATAGCAGTAAACAACGGATACAACGAACAAACAATTAATAAAATGTTAAATCAAAAACTACACAAGAAAGCTCTGAAATTAGTATTTCCACCACCAGAGAAAAAACCCAGTACCTTCTGCTCGATTACATATACAGGCAAAATAGCAACAAAAATGGCCAAACCAATAAAAAATAAAGGAATAACACCAGCTTTCCGAACAAATAACCTGGCAAATATATCAAAAACAAGAGCCAAAATAAAAACACTTACACAGTGATGTGTACAAACTTAAATGTAGCGACTGCCCAAAAACATACATCGGTCAAACTGGTAGAAACTTTAATAAACGAATCGCAGAACATAAAAGGGCTTTCAATAATAAAAAAACAGATTCTACATACGCACTTCACCTTCTAGATCGCAATCATTCTTTTAATGACGAATTTAAAATTCTTCGCATTCCTTATAATGCGAAGTATTAAAGGCCTTAAGCTATCCTTGTTAGAATCTATGGAAATCAACCTCAACCTTTTTCATTAGAGACTATAAATTTTAAATGCATGCCAAAAATAGATCACTTTAGAAAGGCAATCAGCCGAAACAGCTGTAGTGATAAGAGGTTAAAATAAATTTTGTGGAAGTTTGAAAACAAAGTTT